CGCACAGAATAAAACCATAGAAAATCTAAAGGCTGTCTGTGTGTTTCCTGGACGGGGCCGCCTGTTCAGCTGACTACGGTTGCCTTTTGTATCTATGCTTCTTTTTCTATGTCTGCTTCTGTCTCCTTGAACCCCAGTGGGCCTCAGCAGATGGCCACTCACACTGAGCCTGGTTCTGCTGGAGGTTTCTTCCTGTTAAAAGGGAGTTTTTCCTCTCCACTGCCGCTACAAGCGATCTGGTGAACTGGAAAGTGACCTGAGATGACATGATGTGAATTGGAGCTATAGAAATAAACTGAATAGAATTTAATTTGCCCTTGTTGTTACCGGATAAACATTATTTGATAATAACCTGAACTAGTGGGATCATCTTTATAAATAAAAATCTCTGTTGAGGGCTCAAGATTCCCACTCTGTAGATCCGGAATCAGAACATTTTTGGAGGTATCGAAACCCATTTTCTCCAAGGTGAGAAAATGGGTTAAAAAACAAGATGTTCTCTTCTTCCTTCTTGTTCAATGTTCTTCTGAGCTGCACTGAAAACTTTCTAAATCTCTGATTGGATGAGGAGTTTCTAGGCTCGCTCTGATTGGCTGTAACGGTGCAAAAGGGGAGTCATTCAGTCTTTGTTCAAAACACAAACAGTCTGGTCTGGCCTCACTGCCCCAGGTAGTCCTTCCATCCAGCACAGGCCCACTTTACTGCTCTGCTGAGTGGAGACAGTGGAGCTGTTGTGTCTGAGACCTTTAACCTCGCTGCACCAACGTGGCAACCCCTCTGTGAATTTAGACGCTGTGTCGAGGTAAAGTCTGACAGCCTCTTCTGTTTGACTTTCCCACTGCAGCATGTTGGAGCAAGAAGCCTGCTGGGTTCATGTTGCAGAGGGAGGAGATGAAGAGCTGGCAGTCGGACAAGCCGGGAGTGATGAGGGGAGAGAAAACAGAGGAAAAAAGCAGAAAAATTACAGCTTAATGCAACGAAGGGGACGTTATTTAGCTGCTTTGAGTTTCCAGACAGAAATCATTCAAAGAAAAGACGTTTAACAAGAAGTAGGGAGTGAATGAAGGGGCAGGCTGGTGAAAAGTGCTGCAGGGCAGCGGGAGCGATTGTGGGCGGGGAGAGAGGAAGTGTGGTGGACAGGAGAGGAATTTAAAGCCTCATTGTCCTGGAAGAGCAGAGGCAGCGAGAACCCAGGAGGAGGAGGAGGACAACATGGACGCGAGCGCAGCCATGGAGAAGGTACGGAGATTCCTGTTTAGGGACACATCCAGATGTGGAGGTCAGAGGGCCATCAGGCTGCTGGATGTAGCATCTCCTCCTGCTGGTGGAGACACTTTTCCATCTGCTTCTTTTCGTTACGTTGATATGATCTATCAAAGGTTTACATCCATTTCCAGTTTCTATTACTGCTAGAGCTTCTGCTGTTAAGTTTTGAGCAGTTTTCCCTCCTGAAGGGATTGATTTCACCACATTTGATTTGAGTTGTTTAGGTGACGTTACTGCGGATTTCTGGCGTCTACAGAGGCTAAAATATGTGCAGCTAAAACCAGACGATTCACAAATCTCTGGACTTTAATCCAATAGATTAGAAGTCCACTAGAATATGGCAGAATAGAAGTTTAAGCCTAAGTTTAGATGATCTACAGAGAAAGCAAACAGATTAGGGTGATGGCACGGAGGCCCCTCTGACCTCAAAGACTTCAGAGATAAATCAAAACGTCAGCAGCGATAAGAAACACTTCTTGATTACAGGGAATCTTCAGAAACAGTTTGATTGGTTGAACTGATGCTCCTCTTACATCACATTTTTTCACAGACAGAAAAATCCTTCTTGGTTGAGAACTGTCACCCCGTCAGGGTGGGACTCTGTCTTTTTCACAGGCTCCTCAAAGCTTCCTGGATGTCGGAGACGTTTTCCTTTTAGGTGCACATCTTCAGCTTTAGGCTGGAGTTTAGAGACGACTTAACAGAACCTAAAGCCGAGCTTATACTGTACGACTTTTGGCCCTTTTCAGGCCAATTCTCCAGTCCATCCATCCATTTTGTGTCACGCTTATCCCCGCTGGGGGTGCTGGTGCCTATCTACTGGTGAGAGGCAGGGTCCATCTTGGACAGGTCTCCAGTCCATCGCAGAGCAACACAGAGACAAACAGGACAAACAACCATTCACACAAACACACACACCTAAGGAGAAATTAGAGAAGCCAATAAACCTAACAGTCATGTTTTTGGACTGTGGGAGGAAGGCAGAGTACCCAGAGAGAACCCACGCATGCTCAGAGAGAAGTCCATGTAAACTTCATGCAGTAAGAACACGGGCCGAGAATCAAACCATGAACTTTCTTGCTGCAAGGCTGCAGTGCGAATCTCCAGTTGTGCAATAATTTTTCGATCGGGCTGAGATTCAGCATCGTTTTTTATTTGATTTTTTTTTTAACTCTAATAATCCCAGAGGGAAATTACTTCTCTGCATTTAACCCCTCCCCACCGCCACTCCCCTTCGTTGTGTAGTATACGGAGGCAATGAGGGGCGATCAGCCTCTCATGACCACCTCCCGATCAGGAATCTAAAGGTCGAAAGAAAATCAAACATGTTAGAATATATGTCGGTCGTTGTAAGGTCGCATCAGAGCGTCGGGTCGCACAGTGTGAGAACAAACATCCTGCGCTGCGAACTTTTAAACCCTGCAGTTTCATCGTACAGCTTCAGCTGCTTGGAACGATGGAAAATATCGCACAGTGTACGCCCGGCTTAAAGGGAAACACCATTTTTTTGATTTTATGTTATTCCATCATGTTCTACTCACCCATATGAGTTTTGTGTCATTTGGAGCCGTTCTGAAGGTTAGGTCCGTTAGGTTATATCCAAATAACGTCTTCCTATGGGCAACGACTTGAAGGCACAAACTAAACTGTTAATAATGTAGGCCAATTACTGTTCCACAGACATCCGCCATTATATTTTTATATTTATATATTTTAAAAACAAAGCGGCACGTGTATGACGTCATCCACGTGCGCCGGCTACCGTTCATTCATCCTGTCCGCTGAACTGCTGCTAGATTTCCTCACATGCCTGGAAGATGTCTAGTGCTGCTCCCACAGATGATCTCGCTCTCCAAATGGAATGATTCAGATTAGCTAGAATGAATAGAAGGGGTAGAGCGTAGCCGCCTGTGGCCCGGGCTGCCTGTTACGACTCCAGTCCGCCGCGCGGATGACGTCATACACAATCCGCTTTGTTTTAAAGAAATATAAAAAATCTAACGGCGGATGTCTGGGGGACAGTGATTGGCCTCCATGTTCTGAATGCTGGCGTACCATAAAGAATAAATGATGAACAGTTTAGTTTGTACCTTCAAGTCATTGCCCGTAGGAAGACGTTACTGGATATAACCTAACGGAATATCTTCAGAACGGCTCCAAATGACACTAAACTAACATGGGTGAAAATCAAGGGACCAATGTAAAAAAAAAACACAGCGTTCCCCTTTAAGTTAAACTAATGAAGTGATTATCATTTCACCCAGTCTGTTTAGTGTACCAGAACCACAGCATGATGCCGCCCCCTCCATGCTATACAGTTAAGGCAGACTCTCTGTTGCACCTCCCCAAAATTGTAGGTGACGGCAGACAGGAGGCCTCTGATTGGTCAGTTCTATATCTGCTCTACACTATGCCTATTTCCTGTTTGGTTTCTTACCGGCTTGTTTTGTTTGTCTGACCGCTATTGTGGAAAACGACTCGTAAAGATGGAGCAGCTAGCAGAGCGAGGTGTGAGAGATCGCTGGGACCCTTTCCCCACCTGGATATCCGCTCTTTTTGGCCCTCATGTCCCTCCGTTGTCAAACAAACTTGCCCCCACTTCCTCACCGCCTCGGCCGTATCTAGACCCACAGCTAGTTCCTGATTGGCCCTCTGGCGTTGTGGCGTGGAATAACATAGCGCAGACCACGCTTCAATATTGGGCATAAATCAAAAATATCTGCAACAAGCTCACTGAGACACACTGCTGAGGGAGGATAACCAGGCCTTTAGTGCAGGACATCAGAAGATCTTTGGGTTGGTTCATGTGATCCACTTCATTTTCTGTTTGGGTTCTGAAGGCAAAGGAGGTGAAAAAGGTCTGAGCAGAGCAGCAATGCTGGACCTCTCAACTACAGGAAATCTCTTTATGCTTTAAATATTTGAACAAAACATCCAAAAAACATTTGAAAACTATTTATACTTTCATTTTCAAGAAACAAAGACATTTACTTAGGGCTGAGTGAAGCAAATACACCAAAAAATAAAGAAATAGAAAGAAAAAGAACTTAAATTTACACACAGGACTGAATTCTTTGGTGACTTTAACATCGCAATGTGACATTGCTGCAGAGCCGCCTGTCATTCGTCCATCAAACCTAACGGGTCGGGGCCACCTGTTGGGATTCGGTCTCTTTATTTAAGCCCCGAAGCTTAAAACTCGCCATGATGAGAATAGCTGCCAGCGACACAAAGGCTGCAGGGGACGATCTGCTGGGATCAAAACACCAAACAAATGTTCTTTCACTTCAATCATTTATTGAAATTAAACGTTATATTTAAGAAGAAAATGAATCAAAATGTACATTTTGCTCACATAAAGAAGTAAATTGCGAAAAGCAATTGATTTAAATCCTTTTCTAAACAGAGTGTTTTGTAAAACTCTGGAGTTCTTTTATACCTTTAACCCTTTATAGGGATGTCAGTGAAATGCATTTAATTTGAAGCTAATAGTGTTATTGGAATCCAGGATAAGACCTTATTACCTTCGTAACATTAAAAAAATATGGATATTTTGATCGCAAAAAATTTATGTCAATGTAACAAGAAACGCCAACTTACCCGAATATATTAAGAAAAACAACTAAAGTGCTTCTAGAAGAAATTCAAGAAAAACATACATTTTTATTGGTCCAACATAACCTTAGAGGCATTAATGCTGATACTGGCACTGACATTTTTTTTATATGATTTATTAACTTTTCAAAGGAGAAATCCGGTCAGTAAGGAATAATCAATGGATCATTATTTATACCTAAAACTAATATGTTTGCGGTGATTTAATGAATTTAGCATTAATCAAAAAAATAAAAACAATAATTTTCGTCTGGTAGCGGCCATTTTTGCCCAAATATAGTAACCCCTCCCTCCTGCCATCTTCCAGCAGTGACGTCACGGTGCGGTAAGCCTAGCGCCATTCTCCCCGCTTTACAAGCTAAATCAATGGGAACTACTAGACACATCTGCAATCAACAACAATTATTGAAGATTTCCAGAGGACTTCACCATTGAAATTCACCAGAGCTATAGTGAAACTGAAAATGCCCACGTGCATGGCAGCTGGATGCTGGAATACATCGGGTAAAAGTGGAAAAAAGAGTTATTCCACCTTTCTGATTCCTGATCCTCCACGGACGGGTTGGTCGTTGGATCGCCAACTTGAAGAGGGAGGATTTGCCATCGAACTTCTGGCCAGAGAAAAAACACGTAATATGTAGCCAACATTTGGAAGAAGAATGTTTTCAAGATGACTTGGATAATAGCTGTCAGGGTTTGGTTGAGGTTTTAAAGACCCAAATGCAGAGGCAGGGAGGCAGAGGTGAGTTTTAATGTAGTGTTCTTAAGGAACTGAGGCAGGAATCCAAAAATCCAACATGAAAATGTAAAATAAACCAAAAACATGGAGACATCAGGGAAAACAAGCACGAGGAGCAAAGGAAAGACAGGGAACCAGCACTGAGGAACTGCGCATGGGGAGTATTTATGGGAGACTGAACGAAGACTGAACTAATGAGCTGATTGGGAGCAGGTGTGAAAAGAGGATTCTTGAAGGAGTTAGGGAAAAGGAGACTGAGACAAGAGGGCAAAAGAGGGCAAGCAAAGAAAAAAGTAAGAACTGAAATAAATCCAGAAAACACAACTAAATATGAATTAAACCAATAAAACTAGAAAACAAAGACAAACGTGCATCAAAGTGAAACTCAATACAGAACCAAGACCGTGATAATAACGCGTTGTGACAAACACCAGATACAGCACTGGGACTTGATCAACAGCCGATACCGCACCGTGACGTCACAAACCAGTAGGTGGCAGTAGAGTTATTTGACAAACATGGATGCCTCCAGTAAAGCACATTCACATGAAAATTACTCTGAATTAAAAACACTGATCATTTATTGAACAGGATGGAATAATTTCAGATTTAAGGTACT